GCCGAGTGTCGAGCGATAGGCGATACTCCCACATGCTCGTGCCTACCTGAATTCCTAGGTTCACCACCTTATTGTAGACCGGAGTGCATTAGCAACAATGAATGTCCCTCACATTTGGCATGTATGAATAAAAAATGTAGGGATCCTTGCGAAGGCTCATGTGGAACTAATGCCGAGTGTCGTGTGGTGAGCCACACACCCATGTGCGTTTGCCCTAGCGACTTCACCGGCGATCCATTTACCTACTGTACAATAAAGCCACGTAAGCATCGACTTTAAAATTTAATTTTTCCGAAAGCAAAATAACCAAAAGTAAAATAATATTCAAGAAAAAATTTGCTAGTTAATTTTCGATTTTTAATTAATCATAAAACATAGTATTGAGACTTTCGGACATGTTGTAAACTTACTTTTTCTAATTTTTATCAAAAAATTATCGTTGAAGATTGATTTTATTCAAAATATTCCTTTATATTCTTATACTATTTTCAGCCACAACTTTTTCATTGTCGCCTTGTAAACCGTCACCTTGTGGCTTTAACGCCATTTGTAAGGAACAGCATGGTGTCGGATCTTGCTCTTGCTTACAAGATTATATTGGCAATCCTTACGACGGATGTCGACCGGAATGTGTTGTCGATACAGATTGCATATCCACTCTTGCTTGTATACAATCGAAATGCAAGGATCCATGTCCTGGTGTTTGTGGACAATTTGCCGAATGTCAAGTTATCAATCATCAACCCTCTTGCACATGTATTGCCGGTTACAGCGGCAATCCCTTCCACTATTGCAATATAATTCGTGATATTGGTATAAATACTTTTTTAAATATTGATATCTTAAGCTTCATTTATTTTAATTTTTTTTACGTTGTTGTTATATCCAGTTCAAATTTTTTATTTCGTACATGTTGCTTGAGTAGCAAAGTTTATATAATATATCTTAATATAATTTTTGAATTACTTTTCTGTTTTTGTAAATTTAATTCGTTAAAAATAAAGTATTTAACATATATGTATAAATTAGATTCTCATACTTTTATAAATAGGTATTATTTTTTGGATGACCTTTTTTAATGCAATTTAAAAAAGCTTTGAAAGATACATATGTCTGTCTATCATTTTAGTTGATACTTCGAAGGATGTTTGCAATCCATCGCCATGCGGGCCCAATAGCCAATGTCGTATTAATAACAATCAAGCAGTCTGTTCTTGCCTCCCGATTTTCATCGGAAGTCCACCCGCCTGTCGTCCCGAATGCGTGACAAGTTCGGATTGTTCGCTTGCACTTGCTTGCGTAAATCAAAAATGCCAAGATCCCTGCCCTGGCTCTTGCGGTAGAAATTCAAATTGCAGGGTCATAAAACATAATCCAATTTGCTCTTGCAAGAATGGCTATACCGGGGATCCATTTACCGTTTGCTTCCAAATGCCTGGTATGAACTTTTACTTTTGTTTAATGTTGTTTTTTACAATCGATACAATCTGAATTCGTTTTTCCTAAATAATCACGCTCAGATCTCGATATAATATTTATCCTTTAAATACTATGTGAAAATTATTTACATATAACTATTTAATTAATTTTCCCCGAATTGATACATGCATAATGATATTTGTCGATGATAAACCAAACTTTTGGCATGATGAGAAGAAATTTCTTTTGTCTTCGATTGCAATTTATAAGAATGCTGTATCGAGATATCAAAGTGTGTGTGTGTATATAATACACAATTAATTTAAATTTTAAAACTATCATAATTTCAGTGAATCCGCCCATTGTAAATGATGTTGTGAGAGATCCATGTATACCGTCGCCTTGCGGCGCATTTTCTGAATGTCGGGATATAGGAGGGATACCATCGTGTTCTTGTTTGCCAACGTACAGAGGCAGTCCTCCAAATTGTAAACCAGAATGCACGATCAATGCAGAATGTCCGGCTAATATGGCTTGCATGCGACAAAAGTGTAGAGACCCCTGTCCAGGTTTATGCGGCATAATGGCTGAATGTAGCGTCGTGAATCACGTGCCGATTTGTTCATGTTTACCCGATTATACCGGCGATCCTTTCGTCCAGTGTTCCATAAATTCATGTAAGATTCTCTATTTTTCGAACATAAAATTTTAACTTTTTTTTTGTTATATATAGATATGATAACGTACTTGATCTTTTTCTCATGCGACATTATTATAGTTCCTATTCAGTTGTCTAAACCGGATCCATGCACACCTTCGCCTTGCGGATCTAATACGCAATGTAACGGAGGAATTTGCACTTGCATAATAGAATATTTCGGAGATCCGTATAGCGGTTGTCGCCCGCAATGCGTATTAAATAACGATTGCCCGAACACGCAGGCATGCATGCGAAACAAATGCGTGGATCCTTGTCCAGGCGTTTGTGGCCAAAATGCCATGTGCAATGTATACAATCATGTTCCCATGTGTACTTGTCTCGCAGGAATGATTGGAAATGCTTTTGTCTTGTGTTCTCCTGTTCCAGGTATTTTTTGAAAGAATTCTCGAAAGCAATTGCTATATCAAAATATTTAACATTTTTATCAAATCTTTATTAAAATATTCATATTTTTAATACATCAAATTTTTATCTTCTATAATTTTTACTTTAATTAAAATCTTTTCTAATCGTCTTGTAGCATCCCCCATTAGCAATCCATGTAATCCGTCTCCATGCGGTCCGAACAGTCAATGCATACAAAATAACATGCAGGCCGTATGTAGTTGCATAAGCGGATTTGTCGGAGCGCCTCCGACTTGCAGGCCCGAATGTGTAATCAGTTCAGATTGTCCGAAGAACGAAGCGTGTACCAATCAAAAATGTCGGGACCCTTGTCCAGGAAGTTGCGGACGCAACACAATTTGCAATGTCATTAATCATAATCCCGTTTGTGTCTGTCGTCCTGGGATGACTGGGGATCCGTTTATTAATTGCTTCCCACTTCGTAAGAGATATTCTTCAAAGACATATTTTATAGAATATTAACTTTTCAAACTGTTTTCCGCAATCTATATTTTGTTTGCTTATTTCGAATATCAATATATTTCAATATAGTGTCGCACGGTATCAGTTAATTAATCGTTATCTTTAAAGCTGAGGATCCATTACCCGTGCTCAATCCCTGTCAACCATCACCGTGCGGACCAAACGCACAATGTCAAGTGATCAATGATCAACCGTCTTGCTCGTGCTTGCAAGAATTTATCGGATCACCCCCGAACTGTCGGTACGAATGCATCAGCAATAGCGAATGCTCGAATAAAATGGCCTGCATCAATCAAAAATGTCGCGATCCATGCGTCAATGCATGCGGAATCAATGCCGTTTGCAATGTTGTTAGCCACACGCCGATGTGCGCGTGTACACCCGGTTATACCGGTGATCCGTTCACGCAGTGCTCTCCCGAACAATGTAAGAGAATTAATGAATCATGATATTATAAATTTTTTCAACTATAATATTTAAAATATCAAATATCTTTACTTTTTCCATTAATTCATAGACTTTTAGTTATTTGAAAAAAAGATTGTTAATATTAAATTATTAAAAAATTGAAAATCATAATTCTTTATTAGCTGTTTTATACGGATAAATTTATAATCATTATTCTGCTTTCACATATTTTAGTTGATATACAGCCTAGCATAGCCACACCGTGCACACCATCTCCGTGTGGTGCGAATGCAATATGTAGAGTTTTACAAAACGCCGGTTCTTGCTCATGTTCGCAAGATTATGTGGGAAATCCCTATGAAGGATGCAGACCTGAATGCACACTTAATTCTGACTGTCCATCTAATCAGGCGTGCATCGGTCTAAAATGCAAAGATCCGTGTCCAGGAACGTGCGGTCAGAATGCGCAGTGTTATGTGATTAATCATGCACCGACTTGCACTTGTTTCGAACAATTTACAGGAAATCCATTTATATACTGCAATCTTATCGCCGAAGCCCGTAAGAGATTACGCAAGTTCGTTTGCCGCGTCTTAGAAACGATTATCTACAGCTAATATTAATTTTCTTACAGCGGCTGTATCAGATAACGTTGATCCCTGTCAACCATCTCCTTGTGGACCATATAGTCAATGTAAACCAAATAATGGTCAAGCTGTTTGCTCTTGCCTTGCAAATTATGTCGGCGCACCGCCCGGTTGTAGGCCCGAGTGTACAGTTAGCACGGAGTGCGCGACAAATCGCGCCTGCGATAATAATAAGTGCATCGATCCTTGTCTAAACTCGTGTGGTCAGGAAACGACATGTAGAGTCGTAAACCATAGTCCAATATGCATGTGTAAATCCGGATTCAGCGGTGATCCATTCACGCGCTGCACATTCATACCACGTAAGCGGTCCAAATTTTTTTACAGATTATAATTTTTATTCTAGTTTATAATATTTTCATATTAGGAAAATATCTTAGTGTGCCATTTCTTAGATATAATTCTGTCTTTGCAAATATTGTTTTTCATTTTAATTTCAAGTTTTGATTATATGAAGTGGCAAAAGAGATAATATCTTTTTAAAACATTAAAATATTAATTATATTTTTACTTAAAAAATACTTGTATAATTAAATATTATCTTTAAAACTTTTTTAATAGTTTTATCTTGAGATTTTTTAAATTTTAGCCATTTCATTGCCAAGTCTGCCCTCGGACCCTTGCATACCTTCTCCGTGCGGACCCAATTCGCAATGTCGCAATGTCAATGGTTATCCATCTTGTTCTTGTATGATTAATTATATTGGTGCACCGCCAAACTGTCGTCCTGAATGCATCATTCCTGCCGACTGCCCGAGCAATCAGGCTTGTATTCGCGAGAAATGCCAAGATCCCTGTCCAGGTTCTTGCGGTCTGAATGCCGATTGTATCGTTCACAATCACATTCCAATCTGCAGATGTATAGAAAGTTATACTGGCGATCCGTTTATCGGTTGTCAACTTATGCCAATCAGTAAGTTACGCTGCAATTTTCTCCTGAACTGATTGAAAATTTTTTATTTATTTTTACTATGACACACATAATTTAAATTGACAATTTTGCTATGATATAGACAACATACCAGTCCAACAAACTGATCCATGTAGTAAATCACCCTGTGGGCCAAATGCTCGATGCGACAACGGCATTTGTACTTGTTTACCTGAATATTTCGGCGATCCATATTTTGGATGTCGACCAGAATGCGTATTAAGTGCGGATTGTTCCATCGACAGGGCGTGCATACGAAATAAATGCATAGATCCCTGTCTAGGTACTTGTGGACAAAACAGTTTATGCAATGTGATAAATCACACACCAATGTGCAGTTGCCCCTCCGGTACCACCGGAAACGCGTTCATCTCTTGCGATGTAATAAAAGGTACGAAAAAAATATCCGTTCTATATATATATATGTGCTCGAGGATACGAGCTAATGATACTTTCTCGCGTAGTACCGCTCGTGACAAGACCGTGCAGTCCAAATCCCTGCGGCCCGAACAGCATATGTCGCGAATTTAATGGACAGGCCGTTTGCACATGTGCGCCTGAATTCCTTGGATCACCACCCCTCTGTCGACCTGAGTGTACTCTCAGCTCCGATTGTCGGCTAAACGAAGCTTGCACCAATCAGAAATGCAAAGATCCTTGCCCCGGTACATGTGGCGTTCAAGCAAGATGCGTAGTTATCAACCATAATCCTGTTTGCTCGTGTCCCGAACGCTACACAGGCGATCCATTCGTCAGATGCGATGTCATAAGTAAATATAGGTTGATACGAAGCATAAATACGCCCCGGCCACCTACTAAAACAGAAACGTATTGTTACTCTAGAACCAGTAGCGCCTGCAATAAACCCGTGTCAACCTTCGCCCTGCGGTCCGTACGCTCAGTGCCAAGTCATTAACGATCTGCCGTCCTGTTCGTGCCTGCCCGAGTACAAAGGTTCGCCTCCGTATTGCCAACCCGAATGCATCTCCAATCCCGAATGTCCTGGTCATCAGAGTTGCGTGCGGCAAAAATGCATAGATCCCTGCCCAGGTCTATGTGGAGAAAGTGCGGAATGCCATGTGGTGCAACACATACCTCATTGCATTTGTTCCTATGGTCTCACCGGTGACCCATATACGCGCTGCTCGGTGATACTTTGTAAGAGAAATCTTCAGGAAACTAGTCGATCGTATATTTTTTAGCGCAACCTTGTTTAATCCTTTCTACCCTTTTGCGTTGTTTTAGCATACGAACCAGAACTGAAACCAGAACCGTCTCCCTGCGCAAACTTCGAATGCGGCACAAACGCAATATGTAGAGAGCGAGACAACACCGCAATTTGTCAGTGTATCTCTAATTACGCTGGCAATCCGTATTTAGCATGTCGACCCGAATGCGTTATTAATCCCGACTGTTCATCCAATTTGATGTGCGTAAGAAACAAGTGCGTCAATCCCTGCGCCGGCGTGTGCGGCCAAAACGCTGAGTGCTCGGTTGTTAATCATCAACCAATGTGTACATGTCTCCCTGAATATACTGGAGATCCCTTTGTTTCTTGTTTCGTGGATAGTAAGTGTCAGTCTCACACAGTTCTAATTTTGTTTATCGAAAACTTTCTATGGATATAGATTTCTTTAAAATTTAACTTTTTTATTAGTCTTCAAGTTCTATTACGTATCTAATATGTATTAAAATTAAGAGAGGAGATGTTCTTTACATGACATAATTAATTAATATTTTTTATTTTACATAAAGTTTTAGCTTTATTTGCGGTATTTGTGAAAAAAAGAAAGAATTGGAAATATGAAAGAATTTCTTAAGTTTTTTAAAATACTATTTTTTAAATACAAAATTTAAATCTTCCAATATTATATTATAGTTTCCAAAAAGATAATATTGTACATTTTACTTCTATATACTTCTATATATCTCTACATTCTTATGTGATTGATAAAATCTTGATGCATAATTTATTTTATAAAAAGAATACGATATTTTATTATAATCACAATTAATTACTGATAATCTTATAAAATGTGATTATATAAATCAATAGAATTGCTTATAGAAACATTTTTTTTTAATTTGGTATGAAAATGTATATATTTATTTTTACTTGCATATTACATTAATCCATAAAATTTTTCCCAGAAATAATCTCAAATGAGAACGTTTGTGCCCCGTCACCCTGCGGACCCAACAGCAAATGTAAAGAAATATCTGGACAGGCAGTTTGTTCATGCCTGCCCACGTACATTGGAACTCCACCTGCGTGTAGACCCGAATGTATTGCTAGCTCAGAATGTCCGCCGCAGTTAGCATGCAAGGACTACAAATGCGTGAATCCCTGTCCAAGCCCATGCGGACTCAATACCAATTGCGTGATTGTTAATCACAGCCCTATCTGCAGGTGTATGCTCGGTTACAGCGGAGATCCGTTCACCATATGCACATTAATTCCACGTAAGACCACATATTAAATGCATGAAGAATTTCTTAACCCATTTCTTAACCCAATCAATTATATATTTGTATTATATGTTCTTTGTGTGTTACACGACAATCATCAGCAATCATAATTCCGAATATCTTTCAGCTGTAACACCACCAATAATAGAAAAAGATCCATGCGTGCCGTCTCCGTGCGGTAGTTTCTCTCAGTGCAGAAGTATCGGTGGTTCTCCCGCGTGTACTTGCTTGGAAAATTACATAGGTCAGCCGCCTAATTGCCGACCCGAGTGTATTATACACTCAGAGTGCCCGAACGATAAAGCCTGCATCAACATGAAGTGCGTGGATCCATGTCCCGGCTCGTGCGGCACCAATGCCCTATGTTCAGTCATTAATCACATTCCCACATGCAGATGCCCCGAAGGATACACAGGAAATACGTTTATTCTCTGCGAGATTGTAGCGACACGTAAGCTATCACGAATCATCCATTATGCCACGTGTTTTGAAACTGGCTCGAAACACAATTCGAGTTCGATTAATTCCTTGTATTGTCAATATATGGATTGTATATTTTGCAGCGATTCCATCTCCAGTCGAAGACCCCTGCGTTCCTTCACCCTGCGGTCCCAACGCGGAATGCTCGAACGGTATTTGTAATTGTATACCTGAGTTCCGAGGAGATCCATATGTAGGTTGTCGTCCGGAATGCGTCCTAAATGCCGACTGTCCTCGCGATAGAGCGTGCATGCGTAATAAATGTCTGGACCCGTGCCCTGGAGCTTGCGCCCTTAACGCATTATGCACGGTGATCGGTCACGTTCCTATGTGTAATTGTCCAGGAAATATGACCGGCAATGCATTTAGCCAATGCATGCCTTTACAAGGTATATAAAGGTCCCGTTGTAAAGCGATAAAAATCGCTTTCAGATTTGATGCTGCGAAATTATACAAAGCACATTCTTTTATGAATGATTCCCGAAGATTCAATGCCTATATCTTTATGTATTAGATATGCCACCCGCTAATCCATGCGTTCCTTCGCCCTGTGGACCAAACAGCGAATGTCGCATTATAAACAATCAGGCAGTTTGTTCTTGTGTAAGAGGATATCTAGGTAGTCCCCCGACCTGCAGACCTGAATGCATAGTCAGCACGGATTGTCCGCAGAATGAGGCTTGTAGCAATCAGAAGTGTACAAACCCTTGTCCAGGAAGTTGCGGATTAAATGCCTTGTGTCATGTAATAAATCACAATCCGATTTGCGTTTGCCCACCTCTTCAAACGGGTGATCCTTTTATTAGATGTTATCAAGCACGTAAGTACGCTTAAATTACATCAGTGTTTACGGTCAATGTAATCCCGTGGAATTTTCAAGAAAATTTTCGCTCTCTTTCTCTGTCTTTTTGTAAATCGAATTTTGCAACTTTTAGCTCAAGAGCTACCGTTACCTCCCTCGCCATGTACACCAAATCCGTGCGGTCCGAATTCGCACTGCCAAGCGCGCGATGACAAATCTGAATGCACATGTTTACCCGGATTCATCGGCAATCCGCCTAATTGCAGAGCGGAATGCGTCAGTAATAGCGAGTGCGCTAATCATTTGGCTTGCATCAATCAAAAATGTCAGAATCCGTGCGTTGGTTCCTGCGGTGCGAATGCAAATTGTCACGTTGTTAGTCATACCCCGATGTGTTCTTGCGTGGACGGTTTCACCGGTGATCCATTCACGCAATGCATCTTCAGAGAACGTAAGTACCATTTAGATTGATATATCGATTTATCAATATGTCAAAATATATTGACCTATCGATCTATCAATATAACAGAATTAAAACTGATATAATTTCGGTGACTCGTCAAACTTTCGATGTTTGTAGATGCAAGAAAACATATCTTGTATCAATTATTGCGAATAAACAGAAATCATCTTTATGTGTCTACAGTATCGAAATCAGATTGAAATCGCCGAAATTATACTGGTTTTGATATCTGATGTATAGGGTTGGGAAAGTTATTTTATAAAAGTAGTTTACCATTACTCAGAAAATAACGAGTTGTTACAATTTTCATTACTTTTAACGCTATTACAAGACTAAATTATATATAAAACATTTATATTTGTTAAACATTTTGCTTATATTAAAATATAACAATATAACATATAAAGTGATATAATTTCGATCTTGATATTGCTATCGATATAAAGTTTATAATAATTTTGATAATAATTTTTAGAATACTAATATCTTCATAAAAACATTTATTTAAAAAAAAAATGCAAAAAGATTTTATTTTCTTAAGATCTCCAAATTTTGTAAGTGTAAATAAAAAAGAGTATTTTCTTAGCTCTCCTATTAAATAGAATTCAATTTATTTAAAATCATCTTTTTACACCTTTAATTTTATGCAATTTCAAAATTCTGACGTAATATGCTAATTTACAAATCAAATTCGCTTATAACATGCAAAAGTTTATAAAAATTACATGATTTAGTTTAAAATAAAAGTCGTTAAATTTTATCTTGAAATTGTCTATTACTTTTTTAAAAAATGTAATGCTCTATATATGTTTATTTATAAATCATGTTGCGTAGGTTCGAAAAGCACGATAAAAAAACGATAAAAGTAACTCTTGAATTCGTTACTGCTTATCGAAAAAGGTAACAAAATTACTTTTTTCGTCACAGACGAAATTTGTAACGATATTGCAAGCAACGCGTTACTTCCCAACCCTACTGTGATTTATATAGAGACATATTTCTCTCTTTTCATTACGAATTCCAATGTTCATTGATGTCATCTTTTAGCCACACCATTGTCGCCTACAACGGTTGATCCGTGTACTCCCTCTCCTTGCGGCTCTAATGCAATCTGCAAGGAATTCAACGGTGCCGGTTCGTGTACATGCTTACAGAACTATATCGGTAACCCGTACGAAGGATGCAGACCGGAATGCGTCCTGAATTCGGATTGTCCTGCCAATCTGGCTTGTGTAAATACGAAATGTAGAGATCCGTGTCCGGGATCGTGCGGACGCAACGCATTATGCCAAGTAATCAATCACATGCCGGTGTGCAATTGTTATCCCAGATATACCGGCAACGCTTTCTTATATTGCAACCCGATAGAAATAGGTGCGATATACTGTGAAATTGAATATATTCATCATTTCTTGCATAATTCTGTTATCAGTTAGGAGAAATATTTATTTGATCAAAAAATGTATTATAAAATTTTTAGAAGGAGACGATGCTGTTAGTAATCCCTGCGAACCATCACCTTGTGGACCTAATAGCTTGTGTCGCGTGGTGGGTGGTACGAGCGTCTGCACTTGCTTACCCACCTTCTTGAGCAGCCCACCAAATTGTCGCCCCGAGTGTACCGTTAGCGCCGAATGCGCCTTCAATCTGGCATGCATCTCGAATAAATGTAGCAATCCCTGTCGTGGTTCTAGATTGTGCGGTTCTAATGCGAGATGTGAAACGGTCAATCATAATCCCATATGTTCGTGCCCATCTAGTTTTACTGGCGATCCATTCATTGCCTGCTTTGAAATGCCACGTAAGGAATCATTTATCATTAAATCAATTTTTAAGAAATCGAAAAAAATTTTTTTTTTTATTCTGACTTAAATATATTGTCTCAAAAAATGTTTTCTAGCTTTGTGCGTTTTTTATCTCAAGATATAAAACGCATTTTAGATATATAATGTGTCTTTCAGTATAAATATTATTAATTCTTTTCTCTTCTATTAAATTAAATTTCACTTATTTATTGTTCCAATCAGAAGAATCACGTTGAAATTTTATTGAAGGTGCTAGAAAGCTTGCGAATAAAAATCGTAACAGACACATTTTTATCTTCATAGCTAAAGATGAAGAACCTCGTCCATTTGTGAATCCTTGCGCACTTTCACCCTGCGGACCTTTCTCGGAATGCCGTGACATTTACGGTCAAGCATCGTGCGCTTGTTTATCGACATATATAGGAACACCACCCAATTGCAGGCCTGAATGTACAATTAATTCAGAATGCCCGACTAATCAGGCATGTATACAGAGAAAGTGTCGAAATCCTTGCGATGGAGTATGCGGTGTAGAAGCAACTTGTAACGTTTATCATCACACACCCGTATGTTCTTGTCTCACTGGATTTACCGGGGATCCATTCGTAATGTGTAGACGAATTCCCGAGGAAGGTAAGATTTAATCTGTTATAAAATATTTAGGCTATCGACACACGTATTATAAAAATAAACAAGTTTGATAATTTAAAAAATATCTCACACATTTAAAATCACTTGATCGCAAATTGAATACTAAAATTCATGTTCCTTAGATACAACACTCGCACCAACGGATCCGTGCTTAAATTGTGGCCCAAATACGCAATGCTTTAACGGCGTGTGTTCTTGCCTTCCCGAGTATCAAAAAGATCCATACTTTGGATGTCGTCCAGAATGTATTCTGAATTCCAATTGTCCAAGTGACAGAGCTTGCATTAAGAACAAGTGTCGAAATCCGTGCGATCTTGGAATCTGTGGTCTCAATGCCTTGTGCTCGGTCGGAAATCACATACCAGTCTGCACTTGCGCGCCGAAAATGTCCGGCAACGCCTTTATAATGTGCTCCCCGATAGAAGGTATCCATTCGAGCGATCAATATTGAAACATGTCGATCGTTTCGAATGATCGATATTAGCTTTGTAATTGGATTGTTATATATCTCTCTCTCTTTCTCTTTTAATCGTCCTCTTCTTAATATTTACATAGAATCGATAACGAAAGATCCGTGCAATCCGACACCGTGTGGACCGAACAGCCAGTGTCGAAAGGTAAAGGAACAAGCTGTCTGTTCTTGTCTTCCTGGATATTTGGACGCACCACCAAATTGTCGAGCTGAGTGTATTATCAGTTCTGACTGTCCCGCCAACATGGCCTGTAATAATCGGAAATGCATAAATCCCTGCCCCGGAACATGCGGCATTAGAGCGCAATGTATAGTTGTCAATCACAATCCAATTTGTTCTTGTCCCTCCGAATTGACCGGTGATCCCTTCACTCAGTGCATCCCGAGACGTGAGTAACTTAAAGGAGTACAATGTACTCGCCAAACATTGGATGATATTTAGGGAAACATTGAATTCTTTATTTTTCCAACAGCAATAGAATCACCGTTACCGGTTAATCCCTGCGTTCCATCTCCGTGTGGAATTAACAGTAAATGCGAAGTTATAAACAACGCACATTCATGTTCCTGTTTGCCAGAATTCATCGGCAGTCCGCCGAACTGTAGGCCAGAATGCATTAGTAATAGCGAGTGTTCCACGCACTTGGCGTGTATCAATCAGAAATGTCGCGATCCATGTCCAGGCTCTTGCGGTATTAATTCTGATTGTCGAGTGATAAGTCATACACCTATGTGCATTTGCCTTGCCGGATTCGAAGGAGATCCATTCGTGCTATGTAATCCCAAACAAAGTAAGTGCAAGACGTGTATTCATGTCTAGGATGATTTAGAATCACAGGATGCGCTTCCAATTACAGATATTCCATAACAAACTTTTAATTAACATTAAGTAAATGGCAATTGCTTTAAACTCTCTCTTATTAAAAGGTAAAATAAAATTAATTGAGAAAGAAGATATATACTATTATTTATTTTTATACTATTATTTACATTTCTATATATTGTAATTTCTATATAATTTATATATTTATGCGCATAATTGATCGTTATTTTATTACGTGTGCTATTTATATTTTTAAAATTTTTGATGTGCCAAAATTATACTTTGTTATGTGACAATTATTATTTTCTTAAGTTTGCCTTTTAATATCTGTGATTGAAAATGTATCCGGTGATTCTGAAATATTTAATATATTGATTTACCGCAATCATCAATCAATGTTGTTTTAAGAGCATATCTGAATATACTTGAAATTTTTATAGGCGATGTCGTAAATGCCGTAAAACCAACACCTTGTATTCCGTCACCGTGCGGTTTTAATGCGATATGTCGCGAATTAAACGGTGTTGGTTCTTGCACATGTCTATCGGATTATATAGGCAATCCATACGAAGGCTGTCGTCCCGAGTGTACAATAAATTCCGATTGTACCGCAGATCGTGCATGTATCGGATCGAAGTGTCAAAATCCTTGTCCAGGTTTTTGTGGGTACAATGCAATTTGTCAAGTAGTGAATCATGTGCCATTATGTACATGCCAACCTGGATACAGCGGCAATCCGTTTATTTCCTGTAACAGACTTGTACAAGATACGAGTAAGTGATTTAAAGATTCGCGCAGGAGATTTCCCGTTTGATATAATCTGATAATTTTAGTTTGTGAAGAATTTATCAAATTATTTTACTTTCAAAATTAATCTTATAATAATCTTACAAATAATTATAATGCAATAGCATCTGTACAAGATAAATTGCACAAATAATTAATAATAAGTAAATTATTTATAAATTACACAATAATTTTTTAAAATAATTTTCTATAATTATGGTATTCAATCAAATCGGAAATATCATGTAATGTAAAATCTAATTTACAAAATCTTTTTTTTAGCAATAGAACGTAATCCGTGCAGCAATTCTCCCTGTGGACTTAACAGTGAGTGTCATGAATTAAACGGTCAAGCAATATGCTCCTGTTTAAATACGTTTGTCGGATCCCCGCCACATTGTCGCGCGGAATGCACTGTTAGCTCCGATTGTCCTGTAAACCGTGCATGCAAAAATCGTAAATGTGTTGATCCATGTCCTGGTATTTGTGGCATCAACGCAAGATGCGAAGTGATAAATCATAGTCCGATTTGTAGTTGTAATCAAGGTTTTTCTGGCGATCCTTTCATAACGTGCTTCCAAATGCGTAAGTACACCTATAAAATACGAATTGCTTGTTTAAAGTTTAAAGCATCGTCTCGTACAATACTTGATTTAGAAAATTTTTTAAAAATCAAACCTCTTTCTCGTGTTCGATTCTCTTTTAACAGAACAAAATGTCGCGCGTTCTTCAAAATAAGCGATGCTTTAATTAAAGAACGTAACACAGATTTTTGAGCACAAATGTAATAGAAATTATTCGTTCACAGAGATAGACAATGATACACCTATGACGCCACAAAATCCGTGCGTTCCATCTCCCTGTGGTCCATTCGCCACTTGTCGTGAGAGCGGCTACGCAAACGTGCCGACGTGCACATGCTTGGAAAATTACATCGGTAGTCCTCCGAACTGTCGGCCAGAATGTACCGTGGATTCTGAATGCAATAGCGATAGAGCATGCTTGAGACAAAAATGTCGAGATCCATGCCTAGGTTCTTGCGGTATCGGAGCGCAATGTCTCGTGGTTAATCACATGGCTGTCTGTCTTTGTCCGAAGGGTTACACCGGAGATGCGTTTGCTAATTGCTTCCCAGAACCTCCCCGTAAGCTTTTATCCTTATGACGTTATTTTATAATACATCACCCGTATAATCAAAAAGAGAAAAATGAAGAAATAGAAACATATTTTTTTTATACATTTCTATGATCAAGCATTGATAAAAATAAATCGCGAATTATGTCAATTGTATAAATATTCTAATAAATCTTGATGAGATAGAATATATTATAATATTTCTATCTTGCGTGACGGTGATCGATTATAAAATAATAGATGTTTTAATGAGATGTTTTAAAACAAAACTTGCAACATCATATTTCGTGCGCTTAGCATTCTATCTTTAAGAGAGCATATTTGTTCAAGACGCGTAATGATATTTGCAGCTGTACCACAAGATCCTTGTAATCCATCCCCATGCGGAGCCAATGCGATGTGTCTTGACGGTCCATGTGTCTGTCTGCCCGAACATTATGGTGATCCTTATACCGCATGTCGACCCGAATGCGTGCAAAACCCAGATTGCTCGTTAGACAAAGCCTGCGTTCGTAACAAGTGCTTTGACCCATGTACAGGAGTTTGCGGGCAAAATGCAAAGTGCACAGTAATAAATCACACCCCGATGTGCGCTTGTCCGGACGGAATGTCTGGCAATGCATTTGCGGCGTGTTATCCGGTTGTTCAAGGTAAATCCATCGATAATTGAATGTTTTTATGCCGGAGATAAATATCGACTCTTAATTTTTTTGTGAAAATCTTATACCGTCGCAAAAGATTTAATCTGCCGAGAAATATCTTTCAACAATTTCGGCAATAACGCTCTTGCAGATCCCACCGTCATCGAGAATCCGTGTAATCCGTCGCCCTGCGGTCCGAACAGTCGATGTCAGAGTTTTAATAATCAAGCAGTATGTACGTGTATATCCGGATTCATAGGAAATCCGCCCGCTTGTCGTCCCGAATGCGTAGTGAATACTGATTGCGCGTTAAACGAAGCTTGCATCAATACAAAATGCGGCAATCCTTGTCTTGGTGCGTGTGGTATTTCCGCTCGTTGCCAAGTATTGAATCACAATCCAATCTGCAGCTGTCCTCCCGTATTTACCGGTGATCCGTTCGTACGTTGCATACCAAGACGTAGGTTCTCTTTTTTTATTTTAAAAAAATTTTCATGTATACACACATTCTTGTTAAAGACCAGTAGCAACAAACTGTATTTTGTCTTAAAGCGGAGGATGTACCAAAACCGATAAATCCGTGCCAACCTTCGCCCTGTGGTCCTAATGCTCAGTGTCAAGTCGTCAACGACTCACCGTCATGCTCTTGCATGCCCGAGTTCGTTGGAATACCACCAAGTTGTAGGCCGGAATGCATTAGTAACAGCGAATGTCCAAGTAAAATGGCATGTATCAATCGCAAATGCAGAAATCCATGCCCTGGATCTTGTCATTCCTTAGCCACTTGCTATGTCGTTAATCACGTGCCGATTTGTACGTGTCCTGCCGGTTATACAGGCGATCCATTTGTTCAATGCGCAATCATGCCCAGTAAGTAATTTGTAGCTTTGATTTTTTTTTTAAGTATCCTTTTTCTATAAACAGTGCTGCTCAAATTATAATAGAATTCTTGTTATTGTTATATTTTGATTTGTTTTTTTAATTAACAAGAATTTCATTATACTTGCGCGCGCGCGCGCGCGAGGATGTGTTTATAACCAGAAATCGATTGTTATGGATAGGATTAAGCGTTTGCATGCCCGAGTTCGTTGGAATACCACCAAGTTGTAGGCCGGAATGCATTAGTAACAGCGAATGTCCAAGTAAAATGGCATGTATCAATCGCAAATGCAGAAATCCATGCCCTGGATCTTGTCATTCCTTAGCCACTTGCTATGTCGTTAATCACGTGCCGATTTGTACGTGTCCTGCCGGTTATACAGGCGATCCATTTGTTCAATGCGCAATCATGCCCAGTAAGTAATTTGTAGCTTTGATTTTTTTTTTAAGTATCCTTTTTCTATAAACAGTGCTGCTCAAATTATAATAGAATTCTTGTTATTGTTATATTTTGATTTGTTTTTTTAATTAACAAAAGAATTTCATTATACTTGCGCGCGCGCGCGCGAGGATGTGTTTATAACCAGAAATCGATTGTTATGGATAGGATTAAGCGTTATATTTTTTTAGGCATACTATCGGCACCGAATCAGCCTTGCCAACCATCCCCTTGTGGAACAAACGCCGTATGTAGAGAACAAAACGGCGTTGGTTCTTGTACATGCTTGCCTGAATACGTTGGAAATCCTTATCAAGGATGTCGTCCCGAATGTACCATTTCTTCGGATTGTCCCGCGCATTTAGCTTGCATCGGATCTAAATGTCAGAATCCATGTCCCGGTTCGTGCGGTGTCAATACCAATTGCCAAGTTGTCAACAATATCCCTGTCTGCACTTGCATTCCAGGCTACACTGGCAATCCGTATATAAATTGCGTTTATCAGGCTCTCGACAGTAAGTAAAAACGCGCAGTATTATAGAGCATATAATGTGATTGATACTTTAAACGTAACATTATGTTATTATAGTTTCTGATGAAAAGCGTGATCCGTGCAAACCTTCCCCTTGCGGCCCCAATAGTCAATGCACCATTAATAATGATCAAGCTGTCTGCTCCTGTTTGCGAGAATTTATCGGAACTCCGCCGAATTGCAGACCGGAGTGTTTAGTAAATTCAGAATGTGGATCGAACCGAGCATGCGTGAATCAGAAATGTGTAGATCCGTGTATCGGTACCTGTGGCCGCGATGCTCAGTGCAAGGTCATACATCACAGTCCAATTTGTGTATGCGCAAACGCCTTCACGGGTGATCCCTTCATCTACTGTTTTGCAATGCCAAGTATGTTTTACACAGAATACAATATATATTTTTTCTTATAAAATTTAGAAACAGCTAACGAAAAAAGATTAATTTGATCAATTTCAGTTTTAATTGCATCTGACTTTTGCGCATTTTTGGACGAAAAAAAAATATCAATATATTCTCTGTACTTTTCTATAGTTCCAAAACCAGAAGATCAATACCCGAAGGATCCATGCTTGCCGTCACCTTGTGGACCCAACTCCCTATGTAGAACTATTGGTGATGCACCGGCATGCAGTTGCATGCAGAATTACATCGGTGTTTCACCCAACTGTCGACCCGAGTGTTCGATAAATTCGGATTGTTCTGCCGATAAAGCTTGCATTAGAGAAAAATGTAGAGATCCTTGTCCAGGCTCGTGCGGCCTCTTGGCACGTTGTTCGGTGATCAATCATACACCGTCTTGCGTGTGTCCCGAAGGATACACCGGCGATCCCTTCGTCGGTTGCAACATTTTGCCTCAGATATCTCGTAAGAATTCTGTTTTACATGACATTATTACCGTAGACAAATTAGTGAGCATTTCAAATCACTGCAATCCAATTTATATACGCATTGCAGTACCATCCCCAGACCGATGTAACCCATCACCATGCGGTCAAAATGCTCGATGCAACGATGGAGTCTGCACATGCATATCTGAATATTTCGGGAATCCGTATGCCGGCTGTCGACCGGAATGCGTCATTAATACCGATTGTTCCCGCGACAAGGCATGCATACTCCACAAGTGTCGCGATCCGTGCGTCGGAACATGCGGCTTTAACGCGGAATGCAATGTCATTAATCATTTGCCCATGTGCGGTTGTCCGAGAAATATGACCGGTAATGCATTCATCTCATGCACGGCTCTTCAAGGTACGTATGCCCCAAACGCGAGTGCGATATTTTATAACTCACCGCTTTTTAGCCTGTCGATTCGTGAATATCTCCCAACACGAATATGCAATAATTGTTTTTAAATAGATTCAATCATCGTGGAACATCAACCGTGCAATCCATCCCCATGCGGTCCGAACAGTCACTGTCGTGTGTCGAACGGTCAGGCAATTTGTGCGTGCATAGCCGGATTTAAAGGGGTCCCGCCGTCCTGCAGACCGGAATGTCTCATAAGCGCCGATTGCGCTCGTAATAGAGCCTGCAGTAATCAAAAGTGCATCGATCCGTGTCTCGGCGCGTGCGGATTAATCGCGCAATGTACTGTCGTTAATCACAATCCTATATGTAGCTGCCCGCCACTGTACACGGGAGATCCGTTCGTCCAATGCATACCGCAATGTAAGAATTTCACGCAACCAGGAGATTTATGTCGTTACGTTACATAATATTGAAATGAACCGGTAATTTCTTGTATAAATTGCAGTGGAAGAACCAAAGCCACCGGTAAATCCCTGTCAACCCTCACCTTGCGGCTCGAACGCGATATGCCAAGTTCTTAATGACGCCCCATCATGCTCGTGCCTGCCCCAGTTTATCGGAATTCCGCCTAGGTGCAGACCAGAATGTATCAGTAACAGCGAATGTCCCAGTCAACAGGCTTGCATTAATCAGAAATGCCGGGATCCTTGTCCGGGATCGTGCGGCAGGAACGCGGAATGTAGAACCGTTAGTCACACCCCGATGTGCATTTGTGCCAATGATTTTACCGGCGATCCATTCATCCAATGTAATCCCCGACCGAGTAAGTTTCGAAGAAATGTAGCAAATATCGTGGGAAGCGCATTTCATAATTTTTATGTGTGATATTATTCTTTATCCATATAAAATTCCTCGATGGAAATGTTGGATATGTATAATAATCGTGTTTGGTATTATTGATAAAATAATTTACGGCTCTCTATTTTAGTTGATACGCCGCTTGTTCCGCTAAATCCTTGCCAACCGTCGCCGTGTGGTGCAAACGCAATGTGTCGCGAGGTTTTCAATTCGGTGTCCTGCATTTGTTTGCCCGATTTCTACGGAAATCCATACGAGGGTTGTAGACCCGAGTGCATAATCAACTCCGATTGTACATCCAATCGAGCTTGCATAAGAAACAAGTGTCAGGATCCGTGCCCGGGAACGTGCGGTGTCAATGCAATTTGCGAAATTATCAATCATATACCGACGTGCAGTTGTCGGTCAAGATTCACTGGAGATCCGTTCAGATACTGCGGACCCATACAAGATACTCGTAAGTGTATAATGTCGATCACATTTACCTTTACCTTTATTTACGATATTATCACACTGCGTGATTGATCTCGCACAGCTCCGGCACCGATAGACGATCCTTGCAACCCATCGCCATGCGGTCCAAACAGCCAATGTCTTAATGTAAATGGAAAAGCTAGTTGTTCGTGCCTGTCGACTTACCAAGGAACTCCTCCCGCCTGCAAAGCAGAGTGTGTTGTTAGTACGGAATGTCCCATGAATCGTGCGTGCATCAATCGGAAATGCGTCGATCCGTGTCCCGGTGTGTGCGGCGTCAACGCTAAATGCGACGTCTTGTCTCACAGTCCGTTTTGCAGCTGTGGATCCGATCAGATCGGAGATCCCTTCGTCAAGTGTTTCGACATGCCCCGTAAGTTTCCGGAACTGTCGCGATGATAAAACGTGTTTTGTGTGCGAAAGTCTTGTGTTATTTTATCTTCTTTCAGTGACGCCTACGCCATCGATACAAGTCAATCCTTGCGTCCCATCGCCCTGCGGTCCGTTTTCCACATGTCAAGACAGGGGAGGCTATCCGTCTTGCACGTGCATGCCTAATTACATCGGATCGCCACCTTATTGCCGTGCCGAATGTTCTATTAATTCTGATTGCACTGGCAATAAAGCTTGTATCAGAGAGAAATGCCAAGACCCCTGTCCCGGATCCTGTGGCGTTAATGCCTTGTGTACCGTGATCAATCATATCCCAGCTTGCACATGTCCTGACGGGTACACGGGCGATCCCTTCCGCAATTGTTACCTGGCACCCATGCGTAAGAGTTTTCATTAAATTATATTGTTTGCGTCATTATTTGTATAATAGAAAACAATTATTGTTATATATTTGCGTCTCCCGATACAGATATTCCACCAGTAGCAACAGACCCGTGTAATCCGTCACCATGTGGACTCAATGCCGAGTGCCGTAATGGCATCTGCAATTGTATATCCGAATATCGCGGCAATCCATATCTAGAGTGTCGACCGGAGTGTGTGCAAAATTCCGACTGTCCACACAATAAAGCTTGCGCAAATAATAAGTGCATAAATCCCTGCAATGGAATTTGTGGCCAGAATGCGGAATGCGCGGTCGTTAATCATGTAGCCACATGTAGTTGCATCCAGGATTACGAAGGCGACCCGTTCACGCTCTGTAAACGTGTACAAAGTGAGTGTCTTAATCTTTCGTTTTCTCCTTAGAAAGAACCCTGTTATTAGAAGAAACTAATTTAACCATCTTACGTGTCGATAGCGCGTATCAAACCCTGCGAACCCTCCCCCTGCGGACCTAACAGCATTTGTCGCGAATATGGCGATCAAGCTTCCTGCTCTTGTCTACTCGGTTACTTGGGAGTCCCGCCGAGCTGCCGACCCGAATGTCTCGTTAATACCGATTGTGAGCAGAGCAAGACTTGCGTGAACACAAGATGCCGTAATCCTTGCGAAAATACTTGCGGACAGAACGCACTATGCGTAACGCGGAATCATAATCCCATTTGCAGGTGTCCCGCTCAGCATTCCGGTGATCCGTTCGTCAATTGTTTCCCTATAAGTAAGTAACTACTCCCCCTCAATAAGAGTTTTCCAGATAATGCAGAGATGCCTAAAAGATGTCGCAAAAATCTTAAAAAAGGCGTTTTAATCTGTAAGAAAGCGTCATTTAGATATCTTTGTGATGTCTTCTTCAGTCATCTTTGTGTTATCGCAGATGTTTCTTCCCTGATTTTTTGAAACAAATAATGAATTTCTTTCTTTCATTGCCAGCAACATCGGATGTAGAACCCAGGGACCCATGTTACCCCTCACCATGTGGATTGAACTCGCAATGCGTGGTATCCGTCGATAATAAACCCTCCTGCTCCTGTATACAAAACTACGTAGGATCTCCGCCCAATTGTGAACCCGAATGCCGTGCAAACAGCGAATGTCCCACCAATCGAGCATGCATTAGACAGAAATGCACCGACCCGTGCATTGGATTGTGCGGATTCAATGCATTGTGCCAAGTTACTTTGCACCAAGCCCAATGCACCTGTCCCGAATCATACACTGGAGACCCATTCACAGTTTGCTCCCAGATCATATGTAAGAAAATCCCCGCTATCTTAGGATATCGACCTCTGATAAATATTATCTCGGCATTTTGATCTCTAAATCCTGATTTTTTTCATCTAATGTAAATATTATGTTGTATATAACGATGTATTTATAAAAGAACTGTACGTCAGTTTCTTTCACATATCTCTCTCTTGCAACATTTTCTATAAATACTCGATTACTTATACTTCAATATACGCAACACGTCTTTTTGAATATATATATTATATATACGTGCTGCACTTTTTTTACGTGTATAAAAGGCACATACGATGCATGTATAAAACGTGTATATTTATTATTTTTATATATGTATTATATGAAAATATTGCTATATATATTTCTAAACACACGTTAATTTGTATTACAACTAATACATTATAATATACATTGTGTGCATGCAAGAATATCGAAATATAATTGCAATTGCAAGATTTTAATTGTATGTTTTTTGCTATTATTTTAGCGACTCCAGCACCGCCGGTATCTTCTAGACCGTGCAATCCCTCACCATGCGGAATAAACGCGTATTGCCATGAAAGATTCGACACGGCCATTTGTGAGTGCGTACCGAACTACAGAGGCAATCCATATCAAGGATGTCAGCCAGAATGCCTTGTTAACACCGACTGCCCGAAATCGCAAGCATGCATAAGAACGAGATGTCAAGATCCTTGCCCTGGTACTTGTGGTGTTGGTGCGATCTGCTCAGTGTCCAATCATGTTCCTATTTGTTCTTGCCCGTTACCAACAATTGGAGATGCATTCACGCTTTGTCGAGTTCCCATGGAAGGTAACTTCGCCATCTCTCTCATTATTTCGTTAAATCCCATATTTATCTGTTTATTTATTTTGATCAAATTTTAAAATCAAATTTTGCAAAACGGGAAAAATTAGACAAAATATCTCTCAAGCTTTTCTTTCTCTTCGTTACAAATGTTATTAATTGTTTCTTTGCGTTTATAGATTCTAAGGAAACGGATCCGTGCTATCCTTCACCGTGCGGACCGAATACTGTTTGCGAGACAGTCGGCAGTACAGCAATTTGTAAATGTCTACCTGGATTGCAAGGTGTTCCGACGAGTATAACTGGTTGTCATCCGGAGTGTGTGCTTAGCTCGGATTGCCCAGGCGACAAAGCTTGCATACAGAATAAATGCAAAGATCCTTGTTCTCAAAATGTATGCGGTAGTAAAGCGGTGTGCAAGACGATCAATCACAGTCCACTTTGCAGCTGCCCGTCTCCGTTAATTGGCAATCCCTTCGAAGAATGCTACACGAAGATCGGTAAATATAGAAAATTCTAATACATAAATTTTTAAATACGGCTTTCCGTAGTTCTAAAACACACGCACATTTGTTCTCTTCTTTTCAGAAACTAATCCCTGCAGTCCATCGCCTTGCAATTACAATGCCGAGTGTAGAGTGAGAAACGGCATCGCGATTTGCATCTATCCCGAGTGCGTTATTAATTCAGATTGTCCGCGTGACAAGGCTTGCTTCTCGCAAAAGTGCCGAGATCCCTGCATCAGTGCATGCGGTATCAATTCTATCTGTCAGACCGTTAATCACAAACCAGTGTGTTCCTGTCCAGTTGGATTCACGGGCAATGCACGGGTGCAATGTACAATTCCAACTCTCGAAGGTAATATTTATCCGAAATATACTTGTGATTAGTCATTTTCAAAATATAGCTTTATTAGTAAAATCTTTTAAAAAATCATTATATATAATTGCGTATATTACATTATTTTATGGACACATGAGCTGTAATTTAATTAAAATATTAAAATTAAGATTTAAAGAGAAGAGAGAAGATTGATTTGTTTTACAAAATATTAATATATTAA